TTTATACTGAACAGAAATCAAATTAGTCGTTAGAATGAGAATGGGGCGAGCGGGGCTAGTATTTGCTAAGATAAGACTGATATTGGCAAATGACATATCCTGTAAGAAAATAGAGGGCGGGTGGGCGGAGCTATTGCTTGCTTATAAAACTCTAGGAAAAGTTAAACTTAGCCTTGCCCACCTCCTTTCTCCATTTCACTGACTTATTTTATTTACTGTAAAGTGGGAATTGAATTATGTTTTGACAAGCGGTAGAATCTAAGATTAAAAAAAATGTCAAATGTAACCCCGCCCACCCACCCCTATTCCATTTTGATTACTCATTTTTGCCCTGAGCCGGAAGTTGGATTTTATATTGACAAATAATAGAATCTAGGATTCCAATGTTTTTAAATACAATTTTATTTTTTTTATGAATTTTAATTTTTAATTATTGCAAAACAAGTTTGCGGTCGGTGTTTCCACTAAATAATTAAAAATCACATGAAGTAGGCACAATCAGGTACAACTCTAAACGCCGCCCCTCTTCTCTTGGCCAATGAAATGATTTATTAAGGTGGAACTTGTGCGAGAGGGAGGAGCATCAGCAATATTGCTTTTTAAGTGTGATTCTCACTTCTGGTACCATGAAACACCATCTTTCTAGATTAATTGTTTAATTCATTATCTATTTTGTCTCTCAGATTTGCGTAAGATTCTAATGTGATAGTAACGTTATTAATAGTAGGTAGTCACTAGGAAGAAGAAGGGGTTTGGTGGGCGGGGTTATTGCTTGCTTATAAAAAACTGCAGGATAAATTTAAACTTAGCTCCGCCCACCCTCCCGTTCTTTTATTTTTCTTCTGAAGTAAGACATAAATATAATAGCAAATAGTGTACCAAAAAAATTCTAATTAGTGCTTTTTTTATTTGTTTTAACAGTCTAGGTTCTATTAGTTCCCACACCTACTCTACAGAAGAACATATAATTAACCCCGCCCACCCACCCCACCTCAATTTCACTGATTGGTTTCATCTGCTCTGCATGAAAGGCGGATTTTACATTGAACAGAAATAAAATTAATGGTTCGAATGAGAATGGGGCGGGTGGGCGGGGGTAGCATTTGATAAGATATGACGGATATTGGCAAATCACATTTCCTGTAAGAAAATAGAGGGTGGGTGGGCGGGGCTAGTGCCTGCTAAAGTAATACTGATTTTGGCAAGTGATATATCCTCTAGAAAAATAGAGGGGCGGGTGGGCGGGGCTGTTTCTTGCTTATAGAACTCTAGAAAACGTTAACTTTAGCGCTGCCCGAGTGCCCACCTCCTTTCCCCATTTCACTGACTTACTTTATTTACTGTACAATGGGAATTGAATTATGTTTTGACAACGCACCCCTATTCGGTTTTGATTACTCATTTTTGCTCTGAGATGGAAGTTGGATTTTATATTGACAAATAATAGATCTAGGGATTCCAATTTTTTTTCATAAAATTTGATTGGTTATATCACTTTTAATTTTTAATCGAAAAACTAATTTGTCGTAAGCGTTAACACTTAAATAACTAAAAATCACATGAAATAGACATAATGAGGTACAATTGTAAATACCACCCCTCTTCTCCTGGCCAATAAAATGATTTATTAAGGTGGAGCTTGTGCGAGAGGGAGGAGCATCAGCAATATTGCTTTTTAAGTAAGATTCTCAAGTCTAGTCGAACCTGAATCAAATATTTAGCGCTATGTCATTTTTGAGCGCTAAAGAAACTTTGGTAATGACATTTTAATAACAACCAATAACAAATTTTCACAAAATTTAAATGTCACTGTCAACCATGTCAATTTTGACATCAGGAAGTAACGTGGAGTGACAGGTCTAACAACTTCAAGCAAAGTTCATTGATGCCAACTGAAACACTACTTGTTGATCACGCTGTAGGATCTAGGATTACATTTTTTTTTAATAAAATTTAATTTTTACTAAAGGAAAAAGTTAAACTTAGCCCCGCCCGCCCCCCGTCCTACATTTTTCTTCTAAAATAAGAAATAAATCTTATAGCAAATAGTATACCAAAAAAGTTCCAGTTAGTGCTTTTTTACTTTTTTTTAACAGTCTGGATTTTATTAGTTCCCTCTTCGACTTTACAGAAGAACATATAATTAACCCCGCCCACCCACCTTGGCTCCATTTTGCTGATTGGTTTTATCTGCTCTGAATGAAAGATGGATTTTATACTGAACAGAAATAAAAATATTTGTTAGAATGAAAAGCGGGCGGGTGGGTGGGGCTAGTGCCTGCTAAGATTAGATTGATATTGGCAAATGACATACCTTCTAAGAAAATAAAGGGCAAGTGGGCAGGATTATTATTTCTTTCATTTTTCTTCTGAAATAAGAAATAAATCTTACAGGAAATAGTTTACCATAAAAGTTCCCATTATTGCTTTTCTTACTTTTTTTACAGTATAGGTTTTGTTACTTCTATTAGTTCCCACTTTCACTCTACAGAAGAACATATAATTAACCCCGCCCACCCACCCCACCTCAATTTCACATTTTTAATTATTTTGCGAAAAACAATTTTGCGTTTACACTTAAATAATAAAACATACATAAAGTAGATAGAATGAGAACGCCGCTCCAATAAAATGATTTACGAAGGTGGAGCTTATGCTAGAGGGAGGAGCATCGGCAATATTGTTTTTTAAATGTGATTCTCACGTCTGGTATGCTTATTGAACACCATCTTAGTACTTTCTAGGTTAGTTGTTTAATTTATCTATGTTGTCTTTCAGATTTGCTAAGATTCTAATGTGATAGTAAAGTTATCGCAGTATTAAGAGTAGTAGAAGAGGGGGTTATTGCTTTGTTATAAAAAAACTGTAGGAGAATTTAAACTTAGCCCCGCCCACTCACCCCGCCTCTATTTCACTGATTGGTTTTATCTGCCCTGAATGAAAGGTGGATTTTATACTGAACAAAAATAAAATTCGTCGTTAGAATGAGAAGGGGGAGGGTGGGTGGGGCTAGAACTTGCTAAGATAAGACTGACATTGGCAGATGACATACCCTCTAAGAAAAAACAGGGCGGGTGGGCGGGGTTAGTGTCTGCTAAGGTAATACTGATTTTGGCAAATAATGTACCTTCCAAGAAAATAGATGTGCCCCATGTGAGAAACAGGGGAAAACTGACAATGTGCAAATTTAATCACCCTGTATACAAAATTTTCACTTCAATTCGTCTGTCCAAAATTAATTGAAACCTATTACTTTCAAATAATTTTGTTTTTGAGACCCACTAGTACTAAACTTATTTCTTATGCAGGTAGACATTTTAAGGTAGCTGTAACAAACAACAGTAGAAATGAAACGCCTTATGTATATAAGACCCATTAATGTCACTTTGACAACTTGGCTATAACTCTTATTTCGACAAGGCGGCAAACGTCAACGCCTACTTTGTTATGACACTCATTTACAGACCGCAGTAACCCTAGAATTTTCATCTTGGAGTTGGCCCGTAGGTGCACGATTATGACTACAATGACTACTAAAGTGTGATGAAGTTTGCAAAACTTCGGACATTTTCTTACTTTATGTGGACGATAAATTTAATCTACACAGTCAAGTAGAATAGAAAATAAACTGTTTACAAATGCTCGAAATTTATGTTAGTTTTTAGAGGCGTGGGTGTTTTTATTAATTTGCTTTCTGTTTCAGTTTTATATACGATTTTTTTTGGAATTCCAGGTAATTTATGCTTTATTTTCTCAATCTGTAGTTGCATTTTTTTACAAGGATAGGCAGGTTATGCGTGTAATATTTCTGTCATTCGTGTTTCACTTGTACCTAATTAATTGTTAGAACAGTATTGTTGTTTGCATAATTAATAATGTAGTTATTTTTTAATAATGATTGTTATGTTAGTATTTAGAAACATTGCTACCTGGATACTAAGATCGATTCAGTATGGATGATTTTAAAAAACCTTTTTAAACCACAGCAAGCCATGGAAATCTAGTAACTTGGTTGGTATTCAACATTAGTAAGCTAAAGTTTCTAGAGAATGACTGACATGGATTAACTAATCACGTCAGTTATCAGTTATCACCTAGAAGGGGTCAAAAGAACTTTTTAATTCAAATCTTATCAGTGTTTTGCCACATAAATTTGCTAAGTGGACAGGGCAAACAGTGGCTTAATTTTATTTAATTAACGCAAACTAACTTACTACATACAACTAAATTATAGACCATATTTTTTCCTGCTGAAGTAGTTCAGGTACAAATTATAAATTAATAGATCTATTTATATTAACGACCAGAAACAACTACTCTTTTTATAAATTACGTTAAGTATACTAGTTCATCAAACAGATAATTTGACTACTGTACATAAACAATTCATCGTCATGTCGATAACCGTTCAACTCATAACCGGGATATTTTCTTGAAGGACAACTAGAAACATTTTTTGTTTGTTAAATAGAAGATCATTATGCCACACTTTAAGTATTTAAAAATTGTAAAGGACACCCGAAGGACACACGCAACAAAAGCAAAAAATAGCCACACATGTAAAAAGAAAGCGTATATATTATATAACAACTTATCTTTAAATCAAAGTGCCAAAACATCTACCTGCTAATAATTTTGCTTTATTACTAAAGTCATGCCAAAGCAAAATAATCAAGGACGTCCGCTTGTAATATTCGTTCGACAATAAACAGCTTGGTTACAAGAACATCCCGCAGAATGAAGGTGAAGGTTTTTTATTACTATTATTAGTGTCTAAGGTGCCGCCGGTCTATAAACGGTATTAACACTTTCGAAAAAGTTTAACTTGGAATTTTTGGACGATAAGTCACTAAACAAAAAAAAGCTCTTACATATCGCACAAACGATTTCTACCGTGTCGTTGATATTAATTACGTACTTTTATATGTTGGCAGTATTTTCGAACAGTATATAAATAGACTATTTTTATGGAGCTGGCACGCATTTATTCATGTTGTGACAACTAAAATAATACCTACGTGCTAGAATGTACCACGGCGAACTGCATTCAAGCTGTCATTCCCCATTCAACACCACCAGATAAAATCCACAGTCCATGTACATTCCCCTATATAAAAAAAAGGAAGTGGGATGAGAATGACACAAAGTCGATACGGCTTCCTTTGAGCCTTGACTTGTAGAAACTTCGCGAGTTTGCCCGACTTAATTTTCCCAGATCAAATTGTCCAACCTCTCCGCAAATTTCTTTGGAACTCTTTGTTTTCTGTCAGCGCGTGATGGATGCCTTCGAGACCTTCGTCATTTTTAACTGCAGAAAATGTTTGGCCCACATCCACGTGTTTATGTAAGGTCTTGCATCACAAGTTTTCAATGGTCTCGTTCGATTCAGTTTCGATCTGACGGCTGCTTAGCCATGGCGATTTTCTCAAGATGCACGAGTTTAGCAAAATCTACAGCCATTTCGAAACTCGGAATTCTGTCGGCGGTTACCGACATGAATCAAGTTCTGTGTATGTTTATTATCGCACGGACGATTCGACAGGCTTTCAAAAGTTTATAGAGCTTGGAGCGAGAAAGGTAAACAAAATTTATGGCACAATTTGCTTAAGTGCAACTTGTAATTTTTCTTTTTGCGATAGGGTTTTACACGGCCGAGACGCGGAGTATTGATGGACAGTATTATAATGCTAGAGATGTACTAGATTTACAATAAAGACTGTTTTTGTAGTAGAATTGCGTCTTTTTTTATTATTTGGACGTTATAATAATTGATATTCGTTGTTACCTCGATTGGACACCTCCTTCCATATAAATAAATGTAAAACATGTCCCCTTTTTTATTAGGTCCTTGTTATATTTGGCGATGTGACGCATTATTATTTCAAATAGGCGTTTCCTCCTGTGGTTTTAATAAATTGGCAGGTATACGTAAGTTTGTCGTCACGCTGTGACGACGTGTTAGGGGTTTATGATACATTTAACATGTCGAAGGAAGTGTCCAGGATAATAGAGGTCTTGATGATTTACTGGAGCAAGGTTGCGATTTATGTACAAAACTAATTTTATAACTGGACGGACTTCAGTGGGATTGCTTTTTGTGGACTCGAGGCTTGATAATAAAATGCAATTTAGTTACTTGAGAAAGCTAAAGAGGCGATTATACAGTTGTAAGTGTGCCAAGCAAGCTTGAGAAATAATAAATCAGATAAGCTGGGTTTACGACTTTTTATAGATAATTTTGTAGACGGCCACAAAAATATCTCACTCGTCAAACAAACAAATTATGACACACTTTGAATTTGCGATGTTTTCATTGGTTCTATGTTTGTTGTATTAAAAATCTGCAAAATATTGAGGTATTCCCCTCAAATTTCTATTCCGTGAAATAAAATAAAATAACACTTAACATTCTTTTTAGAATCGTTAAGTGATTTGATGTGGCGAAGATTCACAAAATGTGACTCATTTTGTCTGAACTTTTCTTATTACAAGATGATTAAATCCAAGGTGATGATGCTACCATTAAAAACATGAATACGTAATGTAGATATGGGATTTGTTGTTTTTTTTTTTGTGAAAGATAATATTTTTAACAATAATTGATTTGTTGTTTTTATTTTTTAGTGAGTTAGACATCCTTGATCCAAATCAATATGTCGTTAAAAGTTTCAAAGCGTTTCTTTTTGTTTGTTCTTTTCTTAATATCTTGTTTGTTACCATTCTTATAATTGTATTCTTACCGCTTTTTCTTTCAACTAATTAAAGATTTTGAAAATTTTTTGGTCTAATTTTTAGTCTTGTTTGCTTTATGAAGAAGTCTTATTTTAGATTTAACTTGTTTACTACTTTGAAGTCCTTATTTTAAATCTTGTTCATGCTAGAAGTGCTAATTTTTATCCCGAAATTGTTCAAGGTTTTTATAATCTTAATAATGTTGGAGTCACTTACAGAGCTTCTAGTGTTTTAAAAAACTGTCAAGGATTTTACAGTTCTGGAAGCTTTGAAAAATTCATAGATTTTATTTTTTTTTTATTTATTTTGATCAATTAAAAATGAGCTTTTCTTCCCCTCAGAAAGTTATTGTCGTCATCCTAAAAAAAAATGAAATCTGTTTCAAAAATAAAATTCCATTTCTTCAAATATAGGGTGATTTTCTAAAATTTCTGCTCTAGTTGGCCCTAACGCTTAAACAAGCTGTTTCAGTTGGGTCGCTGACGTACGCGTCATAGCCAACTGACCAGAAATTTAAAAAATCACTCTGTATATGTAACACATAGGTTGTTTAAAATAAATAATAATATTGATGTATGTAAAAATAATTGCCTGTTCAATTTACGATTTCAAAATAAACTCATCCAGTTTTCCTGAAATTCAGAATAAAAATTTAAGCAGATTTAATTAGTGTTCCACTGTATACGGGTGAATCACCAAAAAGGGCACTAAAGATAGAAAAAAAATTATAGATTAAAATTATACGGTTTTTGAGGACCATATTTTTAAAATTACTGTCAACTATACAAAGCGTTCTATTTTTTAGATGTAACGTACAACTAACTTTTTTTAAACAGAATACACTATATCTTTTATGTATGGAGTTTAATATACCAAATAAAATTGTAAAACAAAAAAAAGTAAATTTTAAAAATAAAATTGTAGTTTTTCTTCTGAACCATTCCATTGCTATAAAATTTTAAGAAGAAAATTGGAATAACGTGGCAACGTTGCATCAAAATTTCAAAAATAAACTACGGTTTTAAAGACTAGGAAAGAACCAATGAGAATACATAAAAATATATAGTGGTAAAAAAAAACATTGTCACGCTACAAAAGAGAACACACTGTTTAGTCGCATAGTGACTCACCCTGCATATCAAAATTAAAATGTCACACTGAAACCAAAAAGAATATGATGAAACACATTTGTCGAAGAGCTTTTCCAGTATTTAATATACAGGGTGTTCCAAGAGCCTGATGGTGGCAAATCTTCATTTCCCGTGAATTCAACATCGAAATTATTTTCAAATAAATAGTACACAATACATTGACTTCAAAGTTGCTCATCAAAGTTGTATTTATTTTTCTTTAGAACACTCCAATTTAAGCAACTTTCCAAAAGTTTAATTTTTGAATACTTTTTGACTTTTTTACCACCTTCGAAAATTACTTTGAGAGATTTTTTTGTCGATTTCGACCTCAAGAAGTTACTTTCGGCCTTATTTTTTCAAAATCTCCTAGGAGTACAATTTTTTCAGAATAACTAAGTAGATCAAATACAGCAATTTTTGAAATAAAAAAAAATACTGACAAGGCGAATATTTTTAAAATTTGAAGAAATCTCGGGGACCATTGGTGTTTTTTTTTAAGAGTTGGAAAGAATCCAAGGGCATTTAGTGTTCTGTATTCTTTTTGTTTTATAATATGAAAAATCTCGTGGCATTTTTTTAAGAATTAGAAACAATCTTAGCGATTCCTGATATTGTTTTTCAAAAAGTTTGGAAGAATTCTGGAGTGCTTGGTGTTCTCTTTCTTTTAAAAAAGATGAAAATCTTCGGGGCCACTAGTGTTTTATTTTTATGAAAATTTTAAGATAAGTATCTCGGTGTCTTTGGTGCTGTTTCTTTTAAAATTTGAAAGAGTTCTGGAGAGCCTAGTGTTCTTTTTTAGGGAAATGAAAGAATCTTCGGATTCTTCGGTGCCCCTTGTGTTTTATTTCTGAAAGAATTTGAAGTCTTCAGTTTTTAAAACAATTCTGGGGTATCTAGTGTTCTTTTTGTTTTAATATGAAGAAATTTTGAAAACAATCGTGTTCTATTTTTAAAAGAATATAAAAGAATCTCGTGGCCTTTTGTGATTTTTTTTAAGAGTTTGAAAGAATCTTGAGGATCCTAGTGTCTGTTTTTTTAAGACTATGAAAGAACCTTCAGAGCTCTTTGTGTTTAATTTCTGTAAGAATTTGAAAAATCTTCGGCGACTACTGATATTTTGTTTTTTTGAAAGAATTTGAGGAAATTTTCGAGTGGTTATTTTTTTAGAGCTTGAAAGATTTTTAGCGTTTCCTAGTAAAGAATGTAAAAGACTCTTCTACATCCCTTGTGTTTTATTTCTGAAATAACTTGAAAAATCGTCCGGAATGTCTGGTGTTGTTTTTGAAAAAGTTTGAAATAATTCTGGGGCACTTGGTATTCTTCCGGGCTCTTCGTATTTTATTTTTAAGAAAATTATAAGAGATCTTTGTTTTTTTTTTATTTTAAAGTTTGAAAGAATCTTAGGGATAACTTTTTTAGGGAACTTGAAAGAATCTTCTAGGTTATGTTTTATTTCTGAAAAAACTTTAATCATCCCCAGGGACCTCAGATACTTTGTTTATGAAAGAGTTTGAAATAGCTCCTAATATTCTTGTTTAAGAAAATGAAAGAATTTTGGATTCTTTGGTGTCCTTTAAATTTTAGTTCTGAAAGAATTTGAAAAATTTTCGGGTGCTTATTTTTTACTATAGTTTCAAAGATTCTTAGCGATTCCTAGTAAAAAATGTGAAAAAGACTTCGAGATCTGTTTTTGTTTTATTTCTGAAAGAACTTGAAAAATCCTCTGGAACCTCAATTCGTGTTGCTTTTTTAAAAAGTTTGAAATAATTCGGGCCGCGTGGTGTTCTTTCTTTTAAAAAATATGAAAAAAATTTTCCGGCGCCTTGTATTTTATTTTTAAGAAAATTTTAAGATATCACGGGGTCTTTGGTGCTCTCTTTTAAAGTTTTAAAGATCTTAGCGACTTCTGATATTTCTTATTTAAAGAACTTGAAAGAATCTTCGAAGCTGAGGGCTAACCCTAATTTTTTTGTTATACTATTTACTACAAGATTTCTTATTTTAGAAGAAAAAATCAGCGAACGAGTGGGTGGGCGGTGCTAAGTTTAACTTTTTCCTTTTTTATCTTAGCAAGTACTAGCGTCACCCACCCGGCCTCTCTTTTTTTAATGGGTGTCATTCGCCAAAATTAGTCTTATCTTAGCAGGTACTAGCCCCGCCCACCCGCCCTGAATTTTCTTAGAAGGTATGTCATTTGCCAAAATCAGTCTTATCGTAGCAAGTATTAGCCCAACCCACGCGCCCTCTATTTTCTTACAGGGTACGCCATTCGTCAAAATCAGTCTTATTTTAACCCCGCCCACTCACCCTCACTCTTCTCATTCTAAGGACTAATTTTATTTTTATTCAGTATGGGATCCACTTTCATTCAAACCAGATAAAATGAATCACTGAAATGGAGGAGGGGTGGGTGGGCGGTCTTAATTATATGTTCTTCTTTAGAATGGGAGTGGGGCTGTTAAAGAAACAAAAAAAGGGCTAACCGTAATTTCGTTATATTATTTACTACAAGAATTATCTCTTATTTTAGAAGAAAAAAATGAGAGAACGGGTGGGTGGGTGGGGATAAGTTTAACTTTTTCCTGCAGAGTCTTTTATAAGCAAGCAATAGCCCCGCCCATCCATCCCCTCTTCATTCTAGTGACTACTCTTAATATTGTTCAGTCGTATCTTAGGAAAACCTAGCCCCGCCCACCCGCCCTCTATTTTCTTAGAGTGTACATCATTTGCCAAAATCAGTCTTATCGTAGCAAGTATTAACCCTGCCCACCCACCCACGCTGTTCTCATTCTAAGGACTAATTTTATTTTTATTCAGTATGGGATCTACTTTCATTTAGACCAGATAAAATGAATCACTGACATGGAG